TTTTTCTTTTCATTTTATTATTTATTGTAGAGACCAGGTCTTACCAAGTTGCCCAGGCTGATCTCGAACCCTTGGGCTTGGGCAATCCCTTGGGCTCGAGCAATCCTTTCACTTCCGCCTCCCAAAGTGCTGGGATTACACTTGACTGAGCCTCCACACTTGACTGGATTACCTTTCTGTAAATACGTTGGCCACTCTTCTTTTGTTCTCCTAAGTTAGGAGAGGTGGAGAGGAGTTCTGCCCTCTGTCCTCACTGGCCTGGCAGGCCTGCACCACTAAACACTAGGTTGGAGTCACCTGGTTGGAGTATCCAGGAGCCTGTTTGACTGGAAGAGCTCCCAGGGTTTATGGGGTCCTGTCGACAGCCACTGTGCAGCTGGTGGGCTCAGCCCCTCCCACTTGCTCCTGCAGGAGCGAACTTGGCTGTGGTTCTTGGGGGCTGGAATAGGGACCCCCAAGGGTCCTATTGGCAGTTGAGGCCTGAATTGTGTCTGCTTTAAACCACTGGGACATCTAGCTTTGTGAGTATTCTGGCAGGAGGTCAACTGCCCCTGAGCCTGCTAGCATCTCAGTCAAGGACCCTCTCCTCTCCTGACACTTGGTGGCATGTGCTATGTGGGGAAATCTCCCGCAGTGTGTCCGGAAGCTGCTTGCTAGCAGGCACCCCAGCACCTTACCTGGTCCACGATGTTCCCTGATAAATATTGAATGAACAAATGAAAAAGTGAAAGAATGTGCCTGCACTAAATGTAGTTCTTGGCTCATGAAAGCTTCCCAAGGAATAAACATACTCACAATATTTAGCAGAGAGATTTGAACAGATGTTGTGTGTCATTTGCACAACACAGGTGTTAGAGTTTGACGAAGGTGTGCTTGTTTCTCATGGTGTAGGATTTCTGTCCTGGCAGGGGGCATAGAGCATGGGACACTGGGGAGCCCCTTGTGTGCTCCATGGTTCCCCAGGAGTCTGGGTTTTGTTACAGGCTCAGGGATGGCATGAGGTGGCCCTAGGTGCCCTCAGTTTTAGATACGCTTTATAACCACTATGGCTGGGGTTGTCCTTCCGAAGTTTGGAGTTTACTTTCTAGTGAAGTTTCTCCTGGCCTTTGCTTTTCTGTTTTTACACTCTCATTTGACCAGGAAAGATACTCCCTTTTCCTTTTGAGTCAGCAGACCCCTCTCCTCCCCCAACCCAGAACCTTTGTTCCTTCAGGGCAGGGAATTCTACAAAGAGACAGACTGTGAGTTGGAAAAAGTCACTTTAGTGTGACTGCATACGAAGCTTCTTTGCACTCTGGGCAGATGATACTGGTGTTATTTCTCAGAGACCATGAGCTCCTTTGGAACTTATGGTCCCTTCACAGGGATCCCTGGAAAGTTTTGTTAGCTACAGGCACTCGGAGAGGCAGACAGGCCCTGAACCATGACCCCTGCCTGTTAGGTTAGCTGGAAGTGGGGCATGTGGTGGGCTGTCCTGGGGGCGGGAGCCTAAACACGGGGCCAGGAGACCAGAATGACCTCTCTGAGCTCTAGAACGATGGGATGGACTTAAAGGCTTGGGGAAACTTCCTCTGGGCAAGAGTCCCCCACAGTGGCACTGGTCCTTTCATGGGCCTCCGGGTTCCTTCCTATGGCTCCTTGGAGATGGAGTGACCAGAGGATGTTTGCGTGAAGATTGCCATTCCCAAGTTAGGCTCCATAGAAGGCCTGCTCTTCTGGCAGGATGCCGGGCATATACACAGAGCTGAGAGGAGGAACTGGCTCTTCCACCAGGGAGGGAGAGTTCTCCCTCAGAATGTCAGCTCAATGACATTTACACCTCTGCCACCTCTTCAGACTGAGAGCGTGGCACCTGCAAGGCCTGGCCGGTGCTCCCAGTCCACTCCCCTGCATTCCTTCTGTGTGAGCTCAGCCCCGGCACCAAGGAAGTGAAACCTCGTGGTTGTCGCGTGTGTCACACCAAGGACATGGCAGGCCATCACGGCTACCTGCCTTTCTTGGCCCTAGGTAGCTTCTGTCCTGCTTCCTCCTGTTAAGGATGTAATGGAGCTTGATGGGCTGATCTTGAGTTGAGCCTCCTTGTCCACCCAGAGGCCTGCCCAGGAGCCCATGGGGGCTGTGGTCCTGGAGCCAGGCGGGCTCTCACGGGGTATGCACTTACATGCTCACCCTCTGGGGTGGTGGTCTCAGACCTGTATCTGTCACACACAGAGACACCTTGATGCTGTTGCATGGCATACACACGTGCACACACACGCACACAGAGGCACATACACCAGCATGCCAGTCGGGCCACACCTACCCTCACTAATTGCTGCTTCCTTCTGTATTTCATGACAAATTCAGGCCCACAGGGTGTCCTTAGCTGCTGTACCACTGTTCCTGGTATCAAATGTGGTTTGAACAGGCCTGGGAGCCCATCCATGTCCAGCATTCACCCCTTGCCAACACTCCCAAACTTCCCCTCCACTCTGCATCTCTGGGATGCTACAGCCATTCTGCCCCATGGCCCATGTGACCTTTCTGCCTTGGCTTCCAGGTCCTCTGAGAGGTCACTTGTTCAGATTCCTGGATCTCAGCATGTGTGAAGCCTTCTGCAGCAGTGTCTCCATTCCCATACCAGAGGCCTGTGTGGCGCTTGCCTCCTCTTCTCTGACATCCCATGGCCTCCTGGTGGGTCTCCCAGCACTCACCAGGACTCTCTGCTAAAACTTGTCTCCCGGTCAGCCTGTAATCCCAACACTTTGGGAGGCCGAGGCGAGTAGATTGCCTGAGCCCGCGGGTGCGAAATCAGTCTGGGCAACTTGATGAGACCTTGTCTCTACAATAAATAAAAAATTAGCTGAGCATGGTAGCACGTGCCTGTTGTTCTGGCTACTTGGAAGGCTGAGGCGGAAGAATCACTGGAGCCCCAGTGGGTCGATGCTGGGGTGGCTGTGAGTGTGCTACTGCACTCCAACCTGGGTGACAGAGTGAGACTCCAACTCAAAAAACAAAAACAAAACAAAAATAACTTGTCTACCCTGATCAGCCAGAGGGGTCTTTTAAATGTAACTCTGCTCAGATCCTCCCTGCCCGGGGAGAAGGCAGAGCCTGGGGGGGCTGTCCTGTTACTGTACCCCTCATCTCCCATTCCTGCCTCCCCACCACCCTTCCGCCCCCACCACATGGGCTGTACTGTCCCCAGAACACACATCCTGAGGGCCCTAATGGGATCCTCACCCTGCCCTGGCCTGCCTACCACTTTCCCGGCCTGCCTGCCACTTTCCCTGCCTGCCTTCCCTCACAAAGAACTCTGTCCAGCTGGGTGGCTTCTGTGTCTCCCCTGTGCTCCTACGCTCTGGGATTGCACAGGCAGGTCCTTTACTTTGGCTGTGACCAGGAAGGAAAAGGCACTTCACCTGTGACCTGGTGGGGTGAGTCTGCCCCCCATAGCTCCCAGCATGGGCAGAGTTGTGAGTGCCCCCCAATCAGTCATGAGCTCTGGGGAGATGGTGAGGGTTCAGCAAGCCTAGGCCCACGTGTGAGGCAGTGTTCGCTCAGAATGTACAGCCACATTCCCAAGAACACAGTGCCTCTCTGGGTAGATGCTCTGGCCACACCTTGGGCAGGTAGATGGAGCATGGGTCAAATAGCAGATTTTGTAGAGGCTGGGTCCCATGGTGGAAGCAGCTTCCCTGTCCCTTAATGCCCTTCTCATGTGCTGCGTTGGTCCCACAGGCTGGGGACAGGTGCTGGGACAGGGAGGGCTGTGACCTGGGCAAGTTGCCCTTGTCCCTGTCCTACAGGTTGGGCCTGGGTAGGGGCCTCTCAGCCTCCTGTGAGTCTTTGACAGGGCTAGGCAGCTTCTCTTATGTTATCCTCAGGAAAGATCAGGCTCAGATCCTAACAGACGGCCAGAAAACATAGGATGTGGCTGAGATGGGGTTTTCTTTACGAATTCCTCCCAGGGTCCACGCTGGCTGGGGTTGGCTGTTGACAGTCAGTGTGTGTTACGCCGGTAGAATTTTCATTTGGCTGCTGTTTGTGTGTGCCTGTTTTTATGCCTTGTAATTAAAACATTTATTTGGCCTTCACAGTGAAAATCTAATTTCTTGAGTCTAAGAACTGCTGATATTGGCACTGAGACGCCCGTCCATCGGGCAAACATATCCAGAGCCTGCTGGATTATTCATAGCGTGGTATTTGCAAATCAGGCTGTGGATGGCTCTAATCAGAGCTGATGTTTGGTAATTGATGTGTTGAGTTAGGATTTTGGTGGGAAGGGGCGCTGAGCTTTGCTGAGCCGATTGTGTGTGGCTGTGGGGAGCCTTCTAGTCTGACTCAGCCCTGCCGATGGAACAGCGCCTTGGTGGCAACATGTCTGATTACCAATTGTGTACCACACACAGCTCTACAAAGATGCCCTTCTTTAATGTACAGCATCCCTATGCAGCTGGTTCTATTCTCATCCTCATTGTACAGATGTGAAAACTGAGACGCAGCTGGACACGATAACTCATGCCTGTAATCCCAGCACTTTGAGAGGCCAAGGCAGGAGGATCACTTGAAGCCGAGAGTTCAAGAACAGCCCGGGCAACAAGCGAGACCCTGTCTCTACAAGTTATTAAAAAATTTGTCCAATGTGGTGGTGCCTTTAGTCCCAGCTATTCAGGAGACTGAGGTGGGAGGATCGCTTGAGCCTAGGAGGCTGAGACTAGTGAACTGTGATTGTACCACCACACTCCAGCCTGGACAGCAGAGCAAGACCCTGTCTCTTGGGGAAAAAAAAAAAGAAAGAAAAACAAAAGCAAAAACACAAAAAACAAAACCGAGACTCAGGAAAGTTATATTTCCAGGGGCACTCGACAAGGGGCAGAGCTGGGATCAGCGTTTGTGGTCTCAACCCCTGGGAGGTGATACCTGCCATGGGTTTTCTCCTCAATGTTCGGACCCTCCAGAGTCACTAGGGTTACCTGTGCCAATAACACTTGTGCTTTTTCTCCCCTACTTTCTTCCAGACCATCATGGAGCAGTTCAATCCCAGCCTCCGGAACTTCATCGCCATGGGGAAGAACTACGAGAAGGCTCTGGCAGGTGGCGCTGGCTCCCGGCTCTGTGGGTGGGCGTCGCGGGACTTCTGGGTGCTGGGCCAACTCCTGGCCAGGCAGATGGACGTTTTTTGGTACAGCCCAGGGACCTACGGGATCCCAGAGCGCAGGAAATTCAAAAAACTTGTCTGCTTAGAGATGATTCTTCCTGGTCAGGATTGTCTTACGGAGCTGTCCTTCCTCAAGTGGGGGACCCACCTAAGGACAACCCAGACCCCAGCCAGGAGGAGCCTCTCAGGCGAGGCTGTGGAAGTCATGTTTGCTCCCTAAATGCTCTGCTTGCTAGGAACCTTGTGTGGGCCCCAAGGAGAGTGAACTCTTGTCCAAGATGCTGATGCTGGAAAGAGGCTTCCAAATTGAGGCGGGAGGGCTAAGAGGTGGCTCGAGGTAGGTGCAGGGTTTCCAGCCCTAGCATTCCTGTTATCTCCAGGCACAGCATGCAGTGATCAAATTCTCCAAGCAAAATGAATTTCCATGCCCTTTGAATGTGACCAGTTTTTAATCTCTCACTAGCTACGTCTGTATCTTCTTGTGTACCACAGATGTGAGAATCCAAAGTCCCAGGATGGGCCGGGTGGGGTGACTCATGCCTGTAATCCCAGTACTTTGGGAGGCTTAGGAAGGGGGATCGCTTGAGCCCAGGAATTTGAGACCAGCCTGGGCAACACAGTGAGACTCCCATCTCTACAAAGTGGAAAACATTAGCTACTTGGGAGGCTGAGGCAGGAGGATTGCTTCAGTCCAGGAGTTGGAGGCTGCAGTGAGTTATGATCACACTACTGCATTTTAGCCTGGATTCCAGCAAGACTCTGTCTCTTAAAAAGAAAATAAATCCCAGGATGGTTCCAACCATGTATATAGGGATTGACTGTACATTTTTAGACCAATGATAGTTTCCTTTTCCAAGGCCATTGTCTGTGGAGGATCCTTCTTAGCTCTCATGGGGTTCTTTCTTTGAGTGATGGAATTTCCTGGATCTAGGGGTGTGGTCTGGATGCCCCTTTCAGTGGGATATGGTGGGGGCTGGGACCTGCCCTCTCTTCCTCTTTGGTCTGGGCAGTACTGTTCTTTGATGCCCAGGCACGAGTTTCCTTCCAGGCCTTTCCACTCCCCCTGGGCTTCCTCATGTTGCCAGCTGGGTGTGGAGAATCGGGAGGTTTACTTCCTCCTTCTGTTTTCTTTCACTGTTTCAGCTGTCCAGGCCGCCACCACCACCTTAGCTGCATTCAGCCTCCCAAGTGCCAAACTTCTGCTTTTTGGTTTTTCTTTCATTTATTTTAAGAAGCTCAGCCCTCCCACATTCTCCTGCAAACGTGGTCTTATGCCACAGAATGAATTTCGTGCACTTAATTGAGAACTATATAAATAAAATTTGATGAAGTGCCCAATGATAGGCCCCTAACTGGGTTGTGATTCTGTAGAAAATGGATTAGCAATTGTAAATTATGCAACTGGAAACTGCTCCCCCCACCCTGCTCGAGGGCCCGCCTTGTCCTTCCTGCAGCCTGAACGTCAGGATGGTTGGGGTTCTTTCTCACGTGCAGGAGTTTGCCAGGAGGGAACACAGGCCCACTGCTCTTCTGGTTTGCTGGGCAGCAGTGAGCAGTGAGCTGACTTGTGGCTGGGAGGAATGCAGCAGGCCCCAGGCCGATCACACCCTCATCTGATTATATCAGAATCTACCATCATCAGATGGGAGACCCCTCTGGTATCAAATGTAGTCAGCCTGCTTTGAACAGCTGTGACCTGCTCCCGGTTCTGAGGTCATGGTCGGAGGCCGAAAAACACCATTAAATAGTTTTCTTGAACAGGTTTGGCTTGAGGATCTCTGGGTTAAAGGCTTCCTACTGACCAGCTCTGCAGTTTTCTCGCCCAGAGTTGATTCTTTGTCTCCTGAAGTACACTTAGAGCAACGCCCCCTCCCCCTCGCCTCACCAGATAGCATGTGACAGAGAGCTGCACTCTGCAGTTTGACTTGAATAGCTGAGGACCTGAGTGGTACACTGTGTTCTTACAAATAAAAGGAGCGTCGTGATTGCAATGGAACAAGAATATCAACGAAAGACGGGTTACGTCCAACCCAGAAATCAAGTCAGAGTATTCTTTGAGCTTGTCTAGGCAGAGAAGGGATTGGCGTGTACTGTGATTGTGTTTTTGCTGGAGGTCTCCTCTGTCCCTTATAAACCAAGTAACCGCTCCCTTTTCTTCTCTCCCAGGTGTGACATACGCAGCCAAAGGCTATTTTGATGCCCTGGTGAAGATGGGGGAGCTGGCCAGTGAGAGCCAGGGCTCCAAGGAACTTGGTAAGGCCCCAGCCTCGGCAGAGAGCCCCGGGGATCCCTGCAGCCACCCAGCGTTCTTAGGCAGGGCTGGATCCTGTCCTGTATCTGGTTCTTCTCTGATTTAGATCTGGTTTTATGGTCAAATAAGATAAGATTTCTTTAAATAGCAATAATCCTCAGAGCTGGTGAGGGCCACGAGGGGTACCCTCTGCTGAAAGAGGGGTCATGGGGCAGCCTCGGGGTGCTGCCTGAGCTTATGCTGGGAGGACACCCAGGCACATGTTGCTTCAGGCAAATGGAGTGGATCTGTGTAGAAAGACTCAGGCGGTGGTGTTTAATGACATGGTCACTCATTCCTGGTATAAAAATGAGTGAAAAAGGATGCACCTCCCAGTATGGTTTGACTTCCATTTTGTTTACTTATATTGTGGGTACATATACCTCATAACAAGCAGAGGAAGAAACCCCAGAAGTATTCACAGATGGAATTCCTGGATGAATTGTTTCTTTATGCTGTTTCTATGTTGTACAAATTTTCTGTGATGAGCTCTTCACATCAGGGGACACAGTTTGAAACTTTTGGGAAGTCACAGCCCCTGCATGGTGATGTTTCACACTGGGCTTAGGTGGAGTCCATGTTTCTGTGGTCCTTCTGACCTAGGAGGGAGGTACTAGAGTGCCTGAGGTTCCTTTCCCCTACTGGGGAGACCCCGAGGTGGGCCTGGCCTGTGCTCAATTGCTACTGTCAGGTTAGGCTGTGGCCAGCCAACTGGCCTTCAACAAATGAGAACACTTAACTTGGTGGAGAAGGCCAGGCATGGTAGCTCAGCCTGTAATCCCAGCACTTTGGGAGGCCAAGGCGAGAGAATTGCTTGAGCCCAGTGGTTCGAGACCAGCCTGGACAACTTGGTGAGACCTCGTCTCTACGATTAAAAAAAACAAAAACAAAACTAGCCGGGCGTGGTGGCATGCATCTGTAGTTCTAGCTACTTGGAAGGCTGAGGCAGAAGGATCACTTAAGCCCAGCGGGTCGAGGCTGTGGTGGCCAAGAGCGTGCCACTGCACTCCAGCCTGAGTGATAAGAGAGAGACTCACACACACACACACACAGACACACACACATACATTGGTGGAGAAACCACAGAGGGCAGGCCTTGTCCTGGAAGCTGTCCTTTAGCTGCCATTCAAAGAGGTGGTCAGTGTGTGTGTGCAGTGAGAGCTCTATATGGAGACACTCAGATGGGAGGAGGTCCGTGTGACAAGTAGATTCCTTCTACTTTCTGCCTGTCTTGTAAGGGTTGGTGACTTCCCTTGGCTGACAGGAGGCTGGGTTGCATTGGGAAGGTCAGGGCTTTTGGGTTTCTCTCCATGTCTGTTAATTCTAACTCCCAGAAGGGACCCATGCCCCTTGCAGTGCGGTTTTCTGGCAGAGACCTGTGAACCCAGCTCTGTCTGTTCGGCCCTCCCACCCCCAATCTTTGTACATCTCATGACATCCTACACTGGAGGCCAGACTTGTTGACCAAGGGCTTTGCAGTCCCCTCTGCACTCCCTCATTTGAGAATATCAAGGCCCGAGCCCAGGGGTTCCCTGACCAGTTGGTGCTGTTCCTCCAGCAGGCCTACTGGGATGTGGGCTGGGGGATTGAGGTTTCTTGGTGGCCAGAGTCCCATAAGACACTTCTGTCTTGACAGAGAAAGGAGGGGACGAGGTGCTGTGGGGGTGCGGTGGCAGGGCTCTCCACTGTGGTCAGGTCTGCACTGTCCGCCTGGTCCTGCCTTGTCTGCCTAGTCCTGAAGTGTAGGACTTTAGGGCACGACACACTTGTGACAAACCCTGGCACATGGGAGCCTGCCCTGGAGGTCCTACTGGGTCTTCAGGGGTTTGGAGAAGAAACCCTCCCTTGAGGCCTGGCCTTCCCCACCCATCAGAAGGAAGTTGGCAGGTATTGGGCTTGTACCCCTGCGTGTGTCTGTGAAAGGAACATTTTCTTATGATGATGAATCATGTGTTGGGGAGATGCTAGAGGACTAGGTGCCTTTTCCCTGTGGCCACACATGGAAGGCCAAGGGCCTGCCCACGGGAAACTCCAGGCACTGTGTAGTCCACAGCAAAGGGTGGGAGTGTCTGAAACTGCTGTGGGATTCCAGAACTTCCTGTTGGCAGAGTCCTTGGTCTTGACTACAAAAAGCTACTTCCTGTTGGCAGAGTCTTGGCTGTTGACTACAATAAACCCATGAGCTGCTGTGGACAGGAAGCAGTGGTGCAGGGACACATCAGGTAGAGGGAGAGACGTCAGGGCTACTACTTGAACCAGGGAATACACATCTTTGTGTGGCTTCATGGAACTTGTCCCAGGGCTCATCTGGAGGGTGGAGTCCTTCCTGTGTCTGCAGAGGTGGCAAGCCAGATGCCAGTTTTGCTCAAGGAGTCACACCTTTTTGTTCTTGGAATGACTTTATTGATATAACTCTCATGTGACATTTACCGTGTAAAGTATATAATGCAGTGGTGTTTAGTGTGTTCACAGAGTTTGCAACTATTACCATAACTCCAAAACTTATCACTCCAAAAAGAACTTCTATGCCCATTAACAGTTATTCCCTGTTTTCCCATCCCGCAACCTTTGGTGACCATTCATCTGTGTCCTGTCTCTATGGGTTCATCTATTCCGGATATTTCATGTAAATGAAATAATACACTGTGTTACTTTTTGTGTCTGGCTTCTTTCACTGACCATGCTTTCAAGGCTTATCCATGCTGCGGCATGTGTCAGTGCTGCATTCCTGTTGATGGCTGAATAATATTCCACTGTATGGATAGACCACATTGTGCTTATCCATCCTTCTGTTGATGGGCACTTGGGTTGCTTTCTCCTTTTGGCTACTGTGAATAATGCTGCTGTTGAACATCCGTGTACAAGTATATTTGTGTGAACATGGTTTCATTTCTCTTGGGCATATACCTAGGAGTGGAATTACTATGGCAAGTGATGGAGAGTTGAATTTTTATTAAAGCAACACAACCTTGGTTTAATGCTGTCACCCTCCTCATGTATCCAAATCCCATTGCTTGGAGGCAGGTCCCTTCAGTTCCATGTGCTGTTTTCCTGGTATTTGCTTCCATATTTCTAAAAAGACAGGTTTATGCTGTTTTCTCTCTTCCTCATCCTACTTTTTTTTTTTTTTGAGTTGGAGTCTCACTCCTTTGCCCAGGCTGGAGTGCAGTGGCACTCCTGCTCATGGCCACCCCAGCGTCGACCTTCTGGGCTCCACTGATCCCTTTGTCTCAGCCTTCTGAGTAGCCAGAACTATAGACAGGTGCTACCATGCCTGGCTATTTTTTATTTTATTGTAGAGACACGAGGGCTTGCTAAGTTGCCCAGGCTGGTCTCGAACCCACGGGCTCAGGCAATCCGCTCGCCTCAATCTCCAAAGTCCTGGGATTATAGGCTGAGCCACCGAGCCTACCCCTTTTCCTACTTTTTAAAATGTTTGACATTATTTAGTGAATATTTAACTGCAGAAGATTTGTTTTTAGCTTTTTTATGCTGTCCCCTTGCCTCACCCAATAAAATTATCACAATTTTTGTTTAAATTGGTGTACAATGTTTATATGATGGTGATAAAAAGCTCTTTCACATCCAAGACACAGTATATAAGGTAGGTGGGGAGCAAAAAAAAAATCCAGAATTATCTTTTGGAGGGTGAGTCCCTTGTACAGGCTTCCTCCACTAGGTAAGCATTCTAGGAACCCATCAGCATCAGTATACCAGCTAGTGTTGTTGTGTATCACAATTTGTGGAAAGAAATGTCCTGATTTGTGGCAAACAGGTGATTGGTTCTTCCACCATGACAACGCACCTGCCCACACTATGCTGAATGTTCAGCAGTTTTTGACCCACAAAACCACCATGACTCCTGTGACCCACCCTCCTTATTCACCCAGTCTCACCCTGAGAGACTTTTATTTCCCCAGATGAAAAAAGTTCTCAAAGGGAAACCTTTTGCCAATGTGGAAGAGGTGAAACAAATGGTAGAAGCACTAGAAGGTATCAACGTTGATGAGCTAAAAAAACTTTTGAGCAGTGGAAAAAGCAACTCTAGGTGTATTGCATCAAATGGAGAGTACTATGTAGGTGACTAAAATTTAAACATGTAAGAATAAATAGCTGGGCTCGGTGGCTCAGCCTGTAATCCCGCGCCTTTGGGAGGCTGAGGTGAGTGGATTGCCTGAGCCCACGGGTTCGAGACCCGCCTGGGCAGCGAGACCTCATCTCTACAACAAATCAAAAAATGAGCCAGGCGTGGTAGCGCATGCCTATAATTCCGGCTACTCGGAAGGCTGAGGCGGAAGGATCGCCGGAGCCCAGCAGTCGAGGCTGCGGTGGCTGGAGTGGCCGCTGCACTCCAGTCTGGGCGACAGAGTGAGACTCCGACTCACAAAAAAAAAAAAAAAAAAAAAAAATACACAATTTTTTACAAACTTCTACTTTTTGTTGAGTCCCCCCTCTTTGCATTCTGATTACTTTTTTTTTATTTTTACAGCTTTGAGGTATAATTGAAGTATAATAAACTGCACATATTCAAGTGCACAACATGTTGGGTTTTGATGTATGTGTGTACACCTGTGAAGCCTCAGTCAGTGAGCTTGTCCATCCCTCCCAGGATCCTCAGGCTCTTCCCCTCCACCAGCATCTCCAGGCAACCATTGGTCTGCTTTCCGACACTGTAATTTTGCGTGCATTTGCCAGAGTTTTACATAAATGGAATCATATGGCCTGCATTCTTTTTTTGGTTGGCTTCTTACGGTCTGTATAGCTATTTTAAGATCCATCCATGTTGTGTGCATCAGTAGTTCATTCCATTTTACTGCTGAGTGGTGTTCTATTATATGGTTGCGCCACTGTTTGTTCATAGTCATCTGTTGGTAGATACTTGGCTTGTTTTTAGTTTTGGACAGTTCCAAGGTAGCATTTCTTTAATTAACTAATTATGTCAAGAAAATTTTTATGTACTTAT